TAGAAGCCCCAGAGCAAAGGTCTCTCCGCACTATTTCAAACAGGGGCCGGTAAGCCAAATAGGCATCTTGGTGTCAATTACTGGACTCCCTGCACCAACGAGGGATCCTTTCCGTCAGCGAGAGCCCTGGGTCGACCCGTTACCAGTTGTCCCGATCACAGGGCCTGTCGCACCAGGGAGCGGATCAGCGTGTGTTTTATTCCTCTGGGGGCCTCTAGATCGACCAGGGGCCCCGTTCGCCGTATACACAGAATGACAGCAGCCAGGGACCCATGCTGAGATGAAAGGATCCTTCAGCTCCTGATCAGGAAATTTCACCTGTGTAATTTTTTGTTTGATTCTCTGAATATTGCAGGCTGCACTACTCGTCAAACGTACGCGCGCACGTTAGTGACACGCACGTAGTGAAAATAGGTAGTTACAGTGGCGTAAGCATCACGTATTACATTTTTGTATCATGATCTCACGTTGCTGTATGCTCATGGCGCTTTACGGCTGTACGTGCTCGTATTCGTGGTATTTCATTCCGAGTGTCAGTCTGAAAATCGCTCAAGTGAAACCTACGGTCTCAGATGCCTTCTACGCGGATATCGAAGGCGTTTTATCCAAGGGCTCCTCTTCTCCAAACGCCAAGAAAATTCAGCAACACTCCTAACTCTTACCTTTTATTGATAGAGCCCAATGAACCATCACAACATGAAAGTACCCACGATTTATTCGATGGAGTCATTTCATTTTTGATTGGTTCTATTTGATTTATTTCTAAACATATCATGATTGTATTTTCTGGTAGCTGCCGATCCATCTGTCAGTCAAAAAGTTCAACATAACAAGGAAAAGAAGAAAATGGATTGCTGGAAGCAAAGTGGACGAAATGCGGTGGACTAGTTGGAGGAGATCTTGGTGATTTGATTTCTTGCTGCCTTTCCACCTTTTCCAACTTTTGTTCACCGCTATGTCCTTATCGTACCATGGCTCTCGCTCGCCCCTGGCCACACAGCCTATACACCACTTTGATGAAATCCGGGAGATCGGTTCAGATCTGTGCAGTCAATTGCAGGGGTCTCTTAGGTCCGGATTTTTCATTTTTGTTCAATACCGTAGATGCCACTTAAAAAGGTTGGAGCTCAGTGAACACCTTGCTTTGGACAATGACCACAATGGCTTCCATCGCCATTGTGCAGATATATGTGTAAAGTAATAACAACAGCAGTTGACCATGCCCGTAATCGAACCAACGCTGAACAATAGGGGCAGGTTAAAGTGTGAGCCAGGCACATTTTCCGCTGATATGTACATATACTACCGAATATGTCGATGCAAAAGCACGATGTGCGGATAAACCGTTCTGCGTCGGCGTGACGAAAAATAATTATTGTTCATCGAGCTGATCATTATGTTTTACACTAAAATAGCTGATGGACGGAACTTCAGGCAAGTAACCTACGCATATACCTAAATGTTGACAGGTCGGTTAAGCTATCGTTTTAAAATACGCGAAACATTGTGCGTAACAAATGTAGTTGCCGACAGCAACAACGAAAATGCGCCTCTACCACAACAAAACTGCGCTACCCCCTGAATTTGTGTTGTGTGCTTGAATGAATATTTAGTGTGTTTGAAAATTTGGTTTGAAAAATTTGCTTGCGCAGAAATCGTTCCTTTCGGCGTTACGCAAGAAGCTGTTGTTCATCGAAATGGTTAATATGTTTTACACCTTAACAGCCAACGGATGACAATCTGAACAATTAACCCACGCATATCCCTAGTTGGGGACAAGCCCTTTGTGTCGCTTTTTGAGATAGGCCAAATATTATTCACGATAAAGAACTTGGGAGAGATGAGGGGATAGGAGAAGAAATGTGTGTTCTTGACAAGAATGGGTGTACCCCTTGACATTTGTAGATGGGTACTGACGTTACCAAACAAATACGGACGCAAAAGTTCCAGATATACGAGATGACAACCTCTTCTAATCGGGGGCGTGATGGCTGAGTGGTTAGAGCCTTTGACTTCCAGGAGGGGGGGGGGGGGGGGTATTTGAAACCCGACTGCGCCATGGCCTCTGAGCGCCATTTTGGCTCCTGCCGTCGCTAGCTCTGCATGAAGGAGTGCGCGGCGACGTGCGGCGCGTTTTCTTTTAATGGCAGCTTGATCTCAGAGAGCAGTAGCCACATTTTCCGATGAATTTCCATCTTCGAATGGGAGATAGTTTTACGTGCCGGCCGCGCAGTATACTTATTATCTCTTGGTTTTTGAATAGGTAGAGCTCATATTGATTATGAATCGCTCGAGTCACATAAATGTTTCTCGCTTAGAATTTGTCCACAGTCTTTCTCCTGCAATATGCCCAAAGCACGCAGTACAAAATTTGATTATTTCCTCGTCAACGACACAAAGCGGCTTACATATTCCAGGAAACTGATCGTTGCTATGTTTTACGACAAGGAAGTATGTCGGGTTAACAATCTGTGAATTTCAATACCTCCGCAGCTTTGTGCCACCACCATCAACATAAGCGTTACACCAGCGACATTAGAAGGCGACATACAATAGAAAACTTTCCGCTGGTTTCGTTGTACGTAAGTTGACGATGGCTTGTCAGTCCAGTCGAGCTGTGTTATGTCTGAAATAGATGGTATACCAGGGTGAGATGGTATACCATCCAATGGATGGTATACCATCTCACTTGGATGGTATACCATCTAATTCAAAATCTAAACAAGGAACAGAACAGCGAGTTAAAGTTAGCTGTTACATGTGCTTAACGGCTAACTTTAACTCGTTTTTCTACATCTCCTCTCAAATATTTTTGAAAGGATCCATCAGCCTCCGGAAAAAGATGAAGGTGCGTCATGCACATGTATCTCGAGCTATGTCTAGCCTTCCCCTATGCGCAGAAGTCGATAGTTTCCCGATTAGAAAATAAGGATCTGAACATGAAGTGGCCGAGATGAGCATCAATTTTATGAGAGGGGAGGCACCAAGTTTCGGGGCTCCAAGATCCAATTTCACAGTGAAGCGTGCCCCCCTCCCCCTGACTAAATCCTGATTCCACCACTAGTGATACTCCTCACAGCTGTAGAGCGTTGTTTGTGGCTTCCGATGTGGCTGCGGGGATCCGTCGCTCGACCACTGACCTGCGCAGAACAAAAACGATTGCAAAGACGCGCTTGAATTTTACGTTTATGCGCATCGTCTGAAATGCGGTGTTTGTGCTCCATTTCACCGAGACAGCCCAAGAACCTTTTGAACCAAAGGCTCAGTGATTTAATTTTGTGATATCTTAGGCGCACATAGGCCCATCCCGATATTGGGGGGGGGGAGGGGGGGAGAGCAACAGCCCAACATTGGCAGAAGCAGCTCAACATCGAGGAAGGGCTTGCCCCCAAAGCGATACAAAGCCCCATGTCGTCACGTCATTGGGACTTTACGACGCACTCAACTGCTAGGGCTTTAAGCGTCGCCTGCCTCTCACCCTGGCAGGAAGGGCAGGTACCGCGGGGAATCAAACCCCGTACCTCTGATTTCCAACACGCGCAGTGGTTAACGCAGACGCGGTAACCATTACACTGCCGGCAGCCCATATGCAAAGCTGCACCCTTGGTGGAAAGCACATTGTATTGCCCCTTGAAAGCGATGGGTCGAGTTCCTTTCTGGTGCTCGCTGCAGCTGAATACCACTTTAGCATAAAGTTAAAGCTAAGGTCACCGAATCTAAAATTATGGTGCCTCGAAATGAACGTTTTGGTGATCGCCCGCTAAACGGGTGGATCCAGCATTCGTCAGGAAATACAGGATGTGGGCATTATGGCATCCTTTGGATTCTTTGACTCTCGAAAAAGTAAGATTTGGAACCGTTTATGATGCCCCTTGCATTTGGTGCGCTTTGAAACAAAGGTTATTTGGTTCCGATATGGAGTTTTTTTTAATCCCCCTTCACTATGAAATTTGGCGCCCCTTCGGGACACCGAAAACTCACGAGATGTCCGAGGGAAGGGGGCATAGCCCCATGGCCCCTCCTCTGCATTCGGCACGGCGTGAGACTGTCTTCAACCCATCAATTTTGAGAACAATATTACCGTTCCAACACACAAAAGACGGCTGGAATGAATGGCGCGCGGTAAATTGTTCATCGATTAATAGGTCAGTGGCAGAACGAGACATGATCCTTCCGAGGCAAAAGGGCAATAAATGTTCACCATCTTGCTCAAACAAGAAATAATTTAATTTGTTTTGATTTATTCAAGGTGCCGTTTTCGCAGCCTTACCCCGTCCATTTTCTGCAACACGTCACCTTTCCTCAGCATTCTGTTTTCATGCTCACATAAACAGAGGGCCGGAGATAGGCCACCAGAAGAAGCCGAAGGCATGAAGCGTGACGTCCCAAGTCGTATGGTCTCATCCCATTTTCAAATGTCCTTTTACATTGCCGATTTTGAGAATGTTGTTCTCAACCTAAGCATTAAAAGTAACTGTCCATGGTGGGTCCCGAACCCACGCCCGCGACCAACCGTGCTGCTGTAATGAAATGGCCGAGTAATAAGGGTAAGTGGGCAAAAGTATGCATTTTTGTTAGCCGTAAGCAAAAGCACGCGCGGAAAATGCGTGCTCCAGGTGAGGCTCGAACTCACAACCCCGGCATAACTCAGTACTGTCGTATAAGTACCGTGCGCTAACCGATTGCGCCACTGGAGCCGCCGGCCGCAGCCGCGTTATAGAGATACCAGCCGAAGATGAACATACTGTTGTGAGTTTTTGAGTTTCTCGTAGTGTTGCGGGTAAAGATACATTGGTTTAATATGCAAGATTTTGAAAATTAAAATAACTATGCTTTACACAGCACCACACATAAAACCTGCCCTTCAGAACAGGCACTCTTGGCATCTGCTGTCATGGCAACGGCGCAGTCAGCTGACTAAGTCCGGCCCTCGGCGCCGCCTATCGGCGAGATGTCTCGTGGCTCGCGGCCGCCGAGTGTGTGTGTGTGTGTGTGGCAACTGCCGGCACTTCGTGTGGGGTTGCTGCGGGGTGCGGTGTGCAGCGCGGGGCGGTGGTGCGCGTCGAGGGTATGACGGCTCGGGTAGTGACACAGTGCTCAGAAATGACTTGAGAAAGTACGTGTTAAGACGGATTGCACTAGTGCGCTCTCCGGACCCTGAGCGTACGACCAGCCCTGGTGAATTCGTGATGATGGAAACGGTAAACGGGCGGTATTCTCTACAGCAGGACCAATACAGCCCGCATATTAAACGAGTCCTCAAAAACTACCGGTCTTCAGCTATGGACAGTTTATCCGGACCACGCGAGTTTGCCCACTTCAAACGTGAATCTATCGTCAGCGACGACGACTGTTTGAAGCCGAAGGCGACATCGTGTGCGCTGAAGCCGGCCGCGCTCGTGCACGTGCCGAAGACGGTCTGCGAAAAACGCACGTGTGAACAATCATCTGATACTTCGGGAACGAAAACTAACAGTGACAGTGATTCGCCGGCGGATCCGAGCCCCACTCCGCCGCGCATCCCCTTCCCGCCCCCTATTCTCTCAGCGCCCGACCAGGCGTGGGGCGAAGTTAGCGAGACCTGCCTGGAGGGCGAGACTATATCTTGTTTCTCCGTGGGGGGTGAAAAACGGCTTTGCCTCCCGCAGGTACTGAACTCAGTGCTGCGAGGAGTCAGTATTTCACAAATCCACGCTGTTTGTGACGAGCTGCACATTTTCTGTTCCACGTGTAGCAAAGAGCAATTGGACGTTCTGAAGAAGAGTGGCATCTTGCCGCCCAGCGCCTCGCAATGCGGACTCATCACCAAAACCGACGCGGAGCGGCTCTGCAGTGAGCTGCTCAACGTGAGCGCACCCCAACTTCTCAAATCGGACGACTCCTGCAGCCTGAAGCAGCGAATGGACGTGCATCATAAATGTTTCGGCAAGTGTCGGGGGACGCTGCGGCTCGAACTGTACACGTCCTCGCCGGCGCGCTGCATCGAGTGCAATGACTGCCGCGGCCTGTTCGCCCCCATCAAGTTCGTGTCTCACACGCACGAGAACCGCGAGACGAGGACAGTGCACTGGGGCTTCGACAGCTCCCAGTGGCGGAACTACCTGTTGTTGTGCCCCGGCCAAGCCGAACTGGATGTGAAGGAGACTCTGTTCAAGGAATTCAAGAACAAGTTTGATGTGACACTCAAACGGAAACAGGTGAGTCATGCTTTGTGGTGTGTGCGCGGTGATCTGGCTTAACGGCGGAGCTATCAGACGGACCGTCCAGATTCACATTGGCAACAGAAGCTTTTCCAAGTTACGTGCCGAAAGGCACATGTTGTTATTTGCTTCTGGTCAGCGACCCTAAGAACAATGTTCAATTTTCAGGACGTTTGGGGACTCAGCACCCCGCCCCGCCCCACCCCTGGTTTGCGCGCCCCTAAAGTCCTCAACCGCGCAGTCTTCCATTCTGTAGCAGGTTCGCCGGGCCTTCCCAGAACCACTATCGTGTATTTCCGTCGGCACACATCTCAGCGTGCTGTTTTGAAATCGCACCGGTGTAAATCGTTGCACAAAACGCCAATTTATTGGTCCCAAAATACGGCGCTGGGACGAGATGCCCGCGAACTCTAGTCGGCGACCATCTCAGGTAGCTGATATGGTCGGTACCAACGAGGGCGACTCGCAGAACTAGTTAATTGGTGAACAGCTGCCACGTGGTTGACAGTATTTGGACCACAGATTGCGCACCGAAGCATCATTCGCACGGTTCAGCGATGCTCTGTCGGAGTTCTGAAGCTGTTTCGGCCTAAGAAGTGTGCCGATCTATAGATGCCTTGAACGGCTGCGAGCTCATTGCATGGCGAACCAAGCCAGCTGTGCTCGTCTCACCACGCTTTCCGGTTATCAGTGGGTCTAGATGTGAGACACACCAGGCAAAGATGACCCGATTCGGGATGTTCGTGATCGATTGCTGTGTATCGTACCTTACATTCACGTTCTCTAGGGACAGCGATACCACAAATGAAATGTGGGACATCGAGATTCGGACTCGTCTTCAAATCTCCCCAAAAGTACCCAACCGACACATCTGAAATATATTGGGGCGACAACCCCATCGGCACGCCCCCTTCCCCCCCCCCCTCCCCACCGAATTCCAACCCGCACAATCCGCCGCGAATGCTCCCTCTGAGCGCGTAAGCCTGCAGCGCACTCGGTGAGCACCATCCCGCCGCCGTTCGCCGTCCGTCCGCGGCGCCACCGCTATCACCGGACGTCGCCGGGCGGCCGCCGCACTCTGCAGCATGGCGCGACGGGCGCGCCGCGGTCCCGTCCGTCGCGCGTGCTCGGCCGGTCCCGCCGCGTCGCCGGCCGCTGGCTGGCGCACTGCCGCTAGCATCGCCAGCGAGACCGCGGCTCCGGTGTGTAGCTATCGGGAGAGTCGCGGGTGTGGGGGTGCGGCTCAGCTTCGGTCGGTCCCGCCGCGGCGCCGGCCGCTGTCTAGGCGCGCTGCCGCTAGCATCGCCAGCGAGACCGCGGCTCCGGCGGGCAGTTATCGGGAGAGTCGCGGGTGCAGGGGTGCGGCTCAGCTGCGGCGCGGCCCGGCCCGGCCCGGTGGTGCCCTCAGTATAGCCAATCGGTAATGGGCTTGATTCGCACGATTGGTGCGCGGTGGCCAATGCGTAATAAGCCGCATTCGTTCCATTGGCGCCGGCCGTGCAGCGTAATCGCAGCTCTTGTACCGTTCCTGTCTGAATCGTATCACACCCTTTTCGGCTAGCCTGAAAGTAGTGATTTGACGTAAGTATGAGCACGGAATGGTTGGACGTAAATAGAAATGTAAGGACATATTCTTCTCCCAGCACATATATGCACAAATTGGACGCCACATATCGTGCGGTCTTTTCGAATGTTATTACGTATGCAGGGTTTATGTAGCCCAAAGGACGGCCCATCCCGTATATTTTTCATTGGAACCAACTGGATCGGAATCGTTCCAGGAATTGAGCAATGTTTCGTTGAGTCGAAATCGCAGAGGGCTCATCGATTTCGCAGGGCGGAATCCAGCACAGTTTCAGCGCCGTGTTCATAGGCGATGTCAGACCTAGGTATGTTATGTGCCAGTGTTGATAATTTCTGTTCTTGGTGGGCTCAGGGTCCACTGGCTGCGAAATAGAGAGTCCTCCGCACCTGGTGCACGTGCTAGAATGGGTTTTGTGAGATTTGGCGCCTTCTTGGCCTTAGTTTCAACCGTGCATTGTTCTGGACGACCAGCAGGCGCCACCTTTCATACCGCCGCGTGCCCAAGCATGCTGCGTCAATACGTATCTTCATAAGACATACTTCAAACACCAAATTGGTCGAAAAGGCAAGTCTTTTGTAAGTTGGCTACTCGCTAAGATCTTTCGTGTTGTGACACCACGGTGTGGAGCGGCTGCTTCATCGCCGTATGCAGATATGCAGAGGATATTGATCGTTAGGCGGGGCGTCGCCGCAAAGGCCAGCGGTATGTCGGCTGGTGTTTAAAGAGCCGCCGCTCAAATCTGGGTCATCGTTCGGTGGAGGCTCTTGAAATTCCCTGCGGCGGCGAGCGCTCCCTCGACAGCCTGCCCAGATTGGCGGACCGAAGTTTCGCCGCGGCCGACTGTGCCGGAGAGCCGGCCGGCGCGCGCTCCAGTCCAGACCGCGCCGCCGGCCCGCGCCTGGCAGTGGCACTCCGTGTCAGAGGGCAGACACCGGGCCACGGGCGCGGAGAAAGCGTCGACGCGAGCCCCGGCTGCAGTGCGCCGCGCGAGGACTCACGAGCCGTGGGCATCGCTCGGAGGAGCGGGCCTTGCCCCCGACAGTGGAGCGCGCTCTGAGTGGCGGGGAATGTGGCGTCCGGCCAAGCTGGTGCCTCGCCGCTGCGGCTGTATAGCATACAAATCTGGGCTGTCAGGTTTCAGTTTCAGTCAACCTCGTGGCAGACAGCGTGAGTGGTTATTAATTTCCCGCGACGCGAGCGCGTCGCCAAATAGTCAAACACACGTCTGTCGCAGCCGGAACGACGCCAAGGGCATCCTTCCTAAACCCCACCACCACACACAACGGCTTGCCGTCGCCGAAGCCGTCTGCGTTTGCCCGCCGCGTGCGCCTGCGCTGTCGTCGGCGCTCGGGTCATCTCGTCGCCGCGGCACGTGACTACAGCGCACCGTGACGGTGGTCTCTGACCGGCCGCACGGCCGCATCGGTGAGGCCCGGACGCCGCTGGCGGGGGCTGCACGTGCCGACGCACAACCAGCCGGCGCCGACACCCTCTGGCCGCAGAGGCGCCACCCAGCGAGCGGGGGAGGCGGCCCGTTATCGTCGTACGTCGGGCTGCAGCCCGGCGGCTGGCACGCTGCCAAACGCGCCGGCGGGCAGCGGCGGCGGCGGCGGCGCGTTGTTAGGGGCGACGGCGCCGCCGAGGGCGCGCCGTCTGCTGGGGGCGGCGACCCCCGCCGACGCGAGGTCGCCGCCGTGACGTCAGAGCCGCCGCTCGGGTCGTATTGATCGCCGCCGGCCGGCCGGCTTCCGGGCGTCGCGGCGTCGCGGCGGCGGCGGCGGCGGCGGCGGTGGCGGCGGCGGCGTGCGTGTGCGTGTCGATGGCCGTCTGTCCGCCGACGCAGGTCGATCAGACGGCCGTGCGCGGCCGGCGGCGGAGGGAAGGAGGGGGCGGGGGGAGACCGGCACCCGCTCGCCGCCGCCGGACGCACGCTGAACTTGAAGCTGTGAACTTGAGGCGCGCGCCGGTGCGAATCGATACACCGTCGCGGGGAGGAGCACCGCGGCAGCAGGCGCGCCGCGGGCGGGCTCAGCGAAGAGCGCCGGCGACTCGGGGCCGGCGAGGCCGCGCTGCTCGGCACGCGTCACCGCCGCTCCTCGGACGTACCGCTCTGACCGGAGCATGTCCGTCCGGCGCCGGTCGGCGGTGAGGCCGCGGCCGAGAGGGGCGGGCTCGCCGCCGGCCCGGCCTGCGTGAGCTCGCCTGGCACGTCCGCCGCTGCCGCTCCGGGAGCGGCTCTAATTGTCGGGTGACCCGGTCACGGCCGCCCCCTCCCTCCCCGCCTCTCCATCGATCGGCGGAAGGGGGCGATGTCGGTGGGCTGGCCGGTCTGGCCGCGCGCCGCCGTGGTGCGGCCATAATGCCCCGGAGCAGGCGCGCCGGAGCTGGGGGACGCTCCAAGGCCAGCCGGCGGCGGCGGCCGCAGCACGACCGCCACCGCCGTCCGACGCTTGCCCGTCCGGGCGAAGCCAAGAGCTATTTCGGCGGCGCTGCGAATTGGTGTTATTTCGGAGGGGTTGAGCGCGCGGCGGCCGGCGCCGAGCGGCCACCGCGGCGGCGCGCCCTCAGGCGCAGGTGATGCGCAGGTTTTGTCGCGGCCGCCAGACCGTCGCGGGGCGCCTGCCGCAAAAACGCCGCCTGGCGGAGCGAGGTCGGCGCCCGTAAAAACGGCCGCCGGCCTATCTGAAGGGCGGGGCCGGCGCCGGCCTGCAGGCGCGGAACTGGGGCAGGGGCGCGCCCAGGCTCGGCTGGGCGGGGAGGCTGGTCAGGCCGACAGCTGAGCCGGCGGGGAGGTAGTGTCGGTGCCGCCGCGGCAGGCGCAACGACGGCGGACTGCCACCGAGTCCACCGAGCGGGCGGACAAAGGAGCCCGGCCGGCCGGAGCGGCGGCGTCGGCCGACCGCCGAGGCCGCACGAGTGAGATGGCAGTGCGTGCTGCCCGCTGACAGGCGCAGCGTAATGAACGGCGCGGCTCGTGGAACAAGAGCGCGCCGCCAAGAATGCGGCGCACGCGGCGACGCTCATGAGACGAGTAATGACCGGTCGACAGTTGGTACCGCCTCCCGCTCGGCCTCCGGCGCGAGCTCGCCCCGCGACGAGGGCTCGTCCGCCCCGGCGGCGCCTCGGAGCCGCGGCGGCTGCTGGTGACGGACGAGCCAGCCCCGCGCCCACGGGCGAAGCCCGTCGCCAGCCCGCCGTCCGTCGCCAACGGGCGAAATCCGTCGAGTTTGACATCGGCGCGCCGTCTCGCTGGGCTTGGCGGCCATGCATAATTCATGGGTGTGCCCTTCGTCGGGCGCCGGCGGCCGGCGCCCGGCAGACGCGCCGACGCCAGCCGCCAGATTCGGCGGCGCGGTCCGGGGCGCCCCGGATGCAAATGGGGCCCCGGCGCCAGCGGCCGACAGCGCCACCA